TAAGAAAGGAGCGGCAGTAACAACATGGATCAACTGACCTGCACTCCCCATTCCCTGTCCCCTGCACCGCTGGGGGGAAGGTAGAGCCGGGAACAAAAGGAAAGGGGGGTGGGGAGGTGTTGTTTTTAAGATCTGGCCTTGTTTTCTCTTTATCCTCTCAAGTAACTGTTTTTGTTTCCCTTTGTCCTTTTAAGCAACTGTTAATAAATTGTTTTAAGAAAGCTGAGTCTGTTTTTGCCTGGGACCATGGTTGGTGGGTGTTCCGTCTGCTCTTGTCTTGACTCTCAGTCCTTTTATTATAAAACCATTACAGTCATGCAGGAACCAAGGACAATGTTCTGGAAGGGTTGATTTTTAGAGAAGTGAAAACGTAAGGCTGATCAGACTACGTTTTTCAGAAAAACAAAAGAACTAAGAACTTTTTGTTTGGTTGGGTTTTTTCCAGTGATATGGAAATAAAACTGGGAAACTAAGAAAATAACTTTCTGGGATAATCTTTCCAAGGAATGAGAAATCTTAGCCCCATGAACAATTACGATAAAAGTTGAGGACCATGTACAATGGCAATATTGCCCCACTTCTAGAACAAAAGATGAAATGTTTACCTCTGTTTCATTATCGGCCACATGACTGTGAAAAAGTGGGAAGCAACTCATGTTCAGAATGCTGGTGTTTCAGACAACGGTCTGACTTCTATTGCAAAAAGGGAAAAAAAGAAATACCAGTATTCACTTTCTCCTTCCTAATTAGAAAGTTCAACAATAAAATGAGGACTATGATGCTAGAATGGTTACGTTCGGGTTCTCTTTCTCCCAAATTAATTAGAAAAATGAGCAGTAGTTCAGAAAGGCAATGACAGTAGAGAACTCCGATTTTCCATTACTTCATATACCATAATGAAGTGCTGCTTTTGGTTTTGCCAAAACTTCAATGGAAAAAAACAACTGATGCTGCCTGTTTAGACTTAATACGAAGCCTGCTTCAGAGCTGCCAGCTAGCTACAAGCAACACCTAATTCAAAATTTTTAAAGATGTGAAGTAAGGAAATGCTGCTCTTAACCCATTGCAATTAAGCATATGCAGATAAGAAAAGGACTGGGAGGGAGAGGAGGACGATCCTCAGCAAAAGCAAGCTGTTGCTTGTGGTTGCCAGGTTTCACAGCAGGAAGAAGCAGAAAGAACTCCTCTCTGAAATGGTCAAAACTGTTCCCTCGTTCTTTCTCTGCCTTTCCCAAGGGCAGCCATATAAGGCAGATGAAAAGGAGGGACCCTGTTTTGCTCAGGGTGGGACTTGATAAGCTGGAGGCAGAGTCAGGCAGCAGCTCCTCTCCCGGCGCCTCCCTGGGAATCCTGCTGTGCGGGGCTGGGGGAGCAGCAAGGAAAAGGAGCAGAAGGATATGCAACAAGAGAAAGTAGGTGCTCTTTGCTAGCTGGTTTCAGGTTTTTCCATGCTTTATGTCTGACTGCGTGGGATCCTCTGTTTTGATTAAGCAGGCTAGCAAATGTCTTTCAGGTGGCTTTGTTTGCAACTGCTGGGTAGCCAGCCTTTCTACAAGCACTTGTCTGGGTAGCCTCAGGGCCCTAAAACGAATGATACAGAGGGAGTGTGCTTCTCATAGGTGTTTCTTATGTTCTTGTTGTAGATGGACTTGGATGAAGGGCTTTGTGTTTTAACTTTAATGTTTGGTCCCTCCAGCTTTTCATTGTTGAGAGAACTGAGGAGGGAAAGGAGGTATTTCTCTATCTCCTCTAGGACAAATGTAGAAATGCATCAGTTCGCCTTACTGTGACCAGTGTTAAGAAATGAGCGTGTTGTAACAAGTCCCCTACTCCATGTAAATATTTTGTGGAGTAACTTCGGGGGCTCTGTTCAGATGTACTACAATGGGAGTTCATCTATTATGCAAGGATCTTTAAGCAACAACAGAAAATAAGCTTCATTTAAAGAGGGGACAAAGGCTGAAATTCTCTCTCTCTTAAGTTACTCTGTTCTGCTGAGGCTAAAGTAACTCAAAATGTGGGTGTGAACCTTTGCTGACGGAGGAGCAGTCAGCTGCAACTCCTAGGCATGTGGGATTTATATTGCGGATAACACAGTACATTGCAATATGACATTACAGACATCATTTTGACATTAATGTGTGTTGAAGTCACCTCTCATGATACTTTTAATGTTCTCATGTTTTCTTCATATTTTCATATTTTTATTTTAGCTAAGCATTTTAAATAAGGAAGCTTTTCATGGCAGTGTGTAAGAAATGGGGCAATACAAAAATGACACTTTAGAAAGACAGCTGCTCTCAGTCTCGCAAAGCAGTTAATACTGCTGCTAAGGATCTGTGTGTTAGCAGCAATTTAAGACTGCCCCATGAAATACATATTGATATATAAAAGCCTTATTTTCTATTCTGTTTTCTCTAAGTACTTGCTTGAGGGTGGCAAAGTTAGCAGCAAACATTAAATGGCATGAAGAAAATCAAGAATCAGGCCAGGAGTCGTTGATCTTTCCCCTTGTAACAATATTAGCCTCCCAGTGACAGTCATTGTTAATGGCATCCTCCTTTTTACGCTTGATAAAAATCATTCCTGGTTACTGTGGACTGCAAGATCAGATCCCATGAGGTGACTGAAATAATTTATTCAAGTCAATATCTTTCTGTAATTCAAGATAAGATCTCTTGAGGTGTAGATGTTTAAGTCCAAAACCTCAGTCTAGTGTGTTTCAGGCAACAGCATGTTTATAAACTCTAGGAAACTTTCACAGTTCCACCTCTAATCAAGATGCTTCCAGAACTGCTCAGCTTAAAATAATATCATAGGCTCAGCTCTCAAGACAACTCTGCTGCTGTACTAGTGTTGCACTACTTAAATAGTTTTAAGCTTCCTTCTTACCGAATGTGAACTGCAAATCTTATTTTTCTTTCTTCCTCCGGAAGTCTTTAACATCTTTCTTTTCCCAGCTTTCTGTTACTTCTGATGTCTAGCGTGTGGTGTTGTCTAATACGTTTTTCTGATTTAATTTCAGAGGCTGTGAGTGACAGCAGGTGACAGGCTGACAGCTCACACTCGTGTCACAGCGAAGCTCCTTGATAACAGCAGAAAGTCATCTTACCAGCTGCTGGAGAGCACCCTGGGCAGGGAGGACATACAATACCTTCTTTATGATTTTAAATATTGATCAGGGTTAGTAATACCTGTGTGTTGTTGCAGAATGTCCTGTGATAGCGGAGAAACTGTTGGGCACCCAATGTATAACCTCTGTGGAGAGATTCAAGGCTCTACATCCCAGCTTAGCAGTCTCAATGGAAATAGGAAATCTGCAGCATTGCTGGAAGTCAGGGGGAACTTAAGCAATATGCAGTATTCTTCTGTGGCGCTGGATCCCGATACCCCGGTGAATAATGGATCCGGGATTCCCCACAGCTCTGAGGAAGGCATAAAGGCTGCAGCCTTGGCAGAAAGTGAAGTCCGCAGACCGTGTGCATCAAAGTGTTTCCATAGCCATTATTTAACTAAAACTAGTACGCAGGGAGATGTCTACAACTTTCTGGAGAGGCCCAGTGGATGGAAGTGTTTCATCTATCATTTTACTGTGTAAGTACCTACATTTTCACATAATCTTTAGTATAACAAAAATTTGAAACTCTCCACTTAAGCAGCCAGAAGTCACAGTACTTGAGCTTTCAGGCTGAAAACCTGTTGCATGAGTAATCCCATTGAAAGCAATGGAAAAGCCAGTTTCTCAAAGGATCAGCTGCTGTGTCCATTAACATTTCCAGAGAAGGGCTTTTTATTCTTCTTCTAATCTTGATATTTGTCTTCAAAGATGAACACTGTGTGTTTGATACTTCTGAAGGGAAGTCCTGTATGTTCATGGCAATTTTTATTGCTGTCTTAGCTGCTTTACATTGTTCTAAATTCAGACACTGCAGTTTTTAGCATGAGATGTGGAAGGTTTAGCTGTGATCAGGTAAGTCACGTTTTTGTAAGTCCCTTTTGCTCATGCTGAAGTGCCAAGACAATTAATTTGTCAGACAAATATTTAATCATAACATTACTAATTTAAATCGATTTACGATTGCAAACACATAATGAGTACAAATTTAACAAAAAGTTTTTCATTATACCATGCATATAATATATGCAGGAAGGAGATTAAGGCTTCTGTTTACTCTTCTAAAACAGTGGTTAATATATCAATACAGCTGCTACTCTTTTCTTTGAGCTGCTTGTGGTATCTGTCAAGTTTAGCAAGACGTCAATTACTATTTTCAGCACTGCTTAAGAGAATGATCATTTGTCATCTTAGCTGTAGAAAAGGTCTAATTGTGCATGCATTGAGGCAAAAGGAAGCTTTATTGCCTATAGTGCATGCAAACTGAGCCCAAAGTCCTTGCTTTTATTATAAAATTAGCATACGTCCTAAAGAAGTGCAGAGTGTTGAAATTATTCTTTTTGTGTCAGATGAACTTTTCTATGGTCTGACTGCGTTTTGGAAAAACTGTTATCAGTTACTGCAGTCAGGAGCTGCCCAGAGAAATCCATGATAATTATAAGAAGGGAATCGTAATGCTCCTATTTGGCATAAAATAGGCGGTCTTATCAATACTTGCTTCCTTTCACCCCTTGAAATCATATGGTTTTTTTTAAAAGCTTTTTTTGATTAGTGAAATTTTGCCAAGTAAAAGGATAGTCTTTCAAGGACTGTTTATAGTATATAATAATTCCTAAGGCTTAAACAGATGTAATTTCTGTAAATTTAAATATGTGAATAGTCATGATTTAAGCTTATCGGAGGTTAGCATTTATTAATCTTGCTGAAATGCACTTGTTTGTTCATCTGTGGTGCTTCTTGCTGAAATGCATTTGTTTCTTCATCTGTGTTGCTTTTATCTCAGAGTAAGGTTGACCTTTAATATGTACTTATATTCTGCAATGGGCATGAAAATAAAATAGAAAAATAAAAATCTATACACCCCCCTACACTTCCACCCCCCCATACTAGAAAATTGGTGAAAACTCTTCTTTTTTTAACAGTACAGGATTCCTAACTTAAATGAAAAAGTATATAAATTGACCTCTTAAAAGCTTTTTCTTTGAGATTGCTTGAAAGGAAACTTTTTAAACATAGATTTTGACCAGCATTTTGTCTTAAGTATATTTGTCCTAATAATTATCCCAATAACTACCTGGTGTGTTCATTTATATAACAAGTTTCTGGTTTGGAAAGAACGTACTATACAACATTAAAGTGCTAATCTAAACCACAATTAATTTTAAAACGAGAAAGCTTGTGATTTAGTTAAAAAAACCCATTTCCTGTGTTATATCTGTAGCTTTGGGGTAATTTATGTAGAGTTGATCCGATGATGACTACTTTCATAAAAAAATCCAGTCTTCCAAGTATGTAGCCGGTGTTTGTGTAGCCCAGAGGAGCTGCATGTGCAGCACGCCTTCATCGTCCTTTTGTCCTTCATATGCCACGAAGACCATATAGCTCATGTACAAACTTGTGGGAAGCTTCTATCCAAGAGGGACTAGAGTCTGATCTGGAGCCAGTTCTTCTAGGAGGAACCTAACAGGCAAGGCAAGGGAACAGCAAGTGCTCCAGGAGGTGACCTCCCTTTTGCACTCTGAAATTGCCAAAATAATCTCATCTCGTGTTTTATACCTGATACTTCAAGTTTCTTTTAAGGCAGTAAACTCATGCTTCTTAAACAGCTTCATAATGTATGTTAGAAAAGGGAATTATTTTTGCCCAATTAAATCTCGAATTTGTGTTACTTTAGTGAAGTTATTCCAGGCTAAAATCATGGTTTCAAAACAACATGTGTGGAGAGGTGAGTGAGTTTGCTTGAGAATTCCCCTTCCCAGTCTTGAAAACCTTCTCACTTAGGTAATTTTCAGCTTCACATACTTAGCTCCTGAAATACCCAAGAACAAGGTAGAGGATCTCACAAGTTAGAAAGAGGTGAGGGCTTGAGAAACAGTTGTGACATGCAATAGCAATGCATTGATCCTAACCAACCAGTTCTTGTGGCTCCATAAGAACCTCAAGGTATTGGATATCAGTATATGTTAGAGTCCAACTGTTTGCCATATGGTCCTCAGTCCAGAAAAAGAAGTGCATGCCTGGTTTGAATTTGATTTTTAAACTCAGCTATGCACTTGCTTGAATCACATTTGCATGTCACAATGTTAGGGTATAACCTTCATATTTTATCTTTTGAGTGAGAAGCACAGTATGTACTATTGATGAGTTAGGTATGGTAACAAAGTTACTTGGCAAATACAGACATTTAAATAATTTAATTGTAAGTGGAGCCTTATTCATGTGATGAGTTTACATTTCGGAAATATATATATCTTTAATTACAAGTGGAAGGTCTCAATTATAGTCTAGAATATTGTGTTCGTTTGGCTAAAATATTGTGTCCACCTACATGTGAATGGAGTGGGGAGGGCTAAAGCAAGACAGTTTTGCTGATAATAAGGTTATTGACCCCCGTTTTGACACCAGATAGCAATGACCAAAAACCAAACCCAGAATCTAATGTTTGTGCTCAAAATGCTAGAACGTAACTGTGGTAGGAAACACTACACTGCCAAGTCTTTGCAGGCCACCTTGGTCATAGGTCTGGATTTTCTGCCGTGTTTGTAGAGGCACAGAACCAGAAGTAGGAAGGTGCAACTCAAGCCTAGGGAAAGGAAAGGATCGCTGTGTGCACCCATGTGCACTCGCACATGTAAGGGGTGGCTGATAGTAGAACAGTATGGTTTCAATTGTGTTCTGGGAGAACAGGTAACTGCTTGCTGTCATGTGTTAATTTGTTCTGAGTGCGAGTGAGAGAGGTCAACTTGTGTCAGCCCGAGGCTGTGTCTGCATCCCAGCAGAGCCCTGTGCTGCACAGCTGCACCGGTTCAGGTCCCAGGAAAAAACCACTGAGTTTGCACGGATTTGCACTGATGCTGACTGGCTGTATATCTCAGCAAGCAAGGTGGATCCATAGTACCTTCTCCCCTCAGATATGCCCTGTTGTTTTTTACTGACTGCAGTCCAGCCGCCTTGTCCTATCTTTTCCATTTCTCTGGAACATTCAGCAACTTCTAATTTTTGTCTTTTCAGCTGCTGTTGCTGTAGCTAAATTTTTTAGTTAAAAGCCAGAAGCTTAGAGGAGACCTGGATGGGCGGCACTTGGATGAATAAGTGAGGAAGCAAAACAAATGGCTACACTGAGTCTGGTGAAACACAGACAGAGGAGAACCTAGGACCGAGACACAGAATGCTAGATTGGTTTGTCATAGAAACTGAGACTGGTGCCACTGATGCTGAAACTTGAGGAAAAGCAATACAAGAGCAGGCTAGCTCAAGAACAAAGAGAGGCAAACTTAAGTGGGAAGGACAAGTAAACAAGCACTGGCAGCTTTTGGAGATCAGAAGGCTGGATAGGCACAAGGAGCTGGCACTATGGGACAGCTGAAACTGGGTAAGAAGCTCAGAGAGAGCCACTGGAAGGAAGAAGGGGTAGGAGATGACAGCTGGAAGCTAGGGGAAAGAGGGAGCGTGGAATTCATGACGGAAGAAGGAACCTTTCACCCATAGGCAACTGGTTTGAATCTCTTCCAAGTCAATAGTGAAGAAGTAATGACTGTGGGGAGATACAAAAGGAGCTGTTGGTCTCAATCCAGTTCTTAGCGAACGGATGTCAGCATCACTGCTGGAGTTAGCACAGCTGGAAGGCTTGCTGGCAGTCAGTAGAGAAACCACAGGCTGGTTGAAAAGGGAGGCAAGGCTAAGGCAAGAGAGGCCCATGAGAGGGACTCTTAGATTGTATTCTCAGGCCTGCCACTTTCTTGTCGTGTAACACTGTGAAAGTTTAAGTGAGAACTTGCAGCTGTTCCAGGTTACATTGTGCTGGTTTGGCCATTTGTTAAATGAGTGTTAGACCTTGTTCTCATTTAAAAGTTAGACCAATCTTCATAACCCATAACTTCCCATGGGATGGTGTGAGCTGATCTAACAGCCCATTGCTAACAGACCACCTCCAGTTCTGCTCCCTTTATCCACCTTATCCATTCAGCATGCTCTTGCCAGCTCTAGTTGTCCTTGGATATCCTTGAATCACTGAGCCGGTTCAACTTATTAAGCCAGCAGAAACCTAGCCCAGCAGGAAAAAGTGGATGGTCTTCTGTCAGGATGGTAATACACGTTCAGCATCTTGAAGTACTGTCCACTATTGTTCTCTTAGTGCTCCTAGTGGATCATAATCACCTGTTAAATTTCATTAAAAATTGTATGGAATAATTGGAAAGTAACGCTACAAATCATCTGGCAAGTACTGCAGACCACCTGGTTTGACAGCAAAACATTTCACAAATGCAGAGTTTGCCTAGCAACAAAGTCTGCTCGCCAGGCTTCCTTACGATTTATGGGGAAACAACTCCTCCAAACGGTGACTCAGAGAGAATAATGACCATGCTCTGAATCCTTCCTAGGGGATGCTGTCTGTCTTTCTGTTGACTGCATGGGAAAGATAAGGAGAATGTCCTTGGAGTATGGTTTCACAAAGAGCTGGCATAATAGTTTACCAGTA